TAGCAAAAGCTATTTGATCTTGTGTCACTCCAAAATTAAGGGTCAAGCTGGGGTAGGCAAAATTCTTCAAAAAACTCGAGAAAGGTCTATTTACCTATTTTCTTTAAAACATGCATTCTTTTTATTTCGATTACAAATATCAAAGATTCCATGAGATAGTTACAAGTGAAACCTGGTACGCCAGGAGTATCATCGAATACTCATAATCTGGCCCAGTGAACTTATTTAATATACAGTAATACAAATATTAACATTTTTGGCATTAAAGAACAACTTGATTGACCACAACAAATTCATAGTTCGACTCACTTCCTCAAAAAAATCAATACCTAACTTTATAGTGGTTTTTAAAGAGTACATTTTGGAGAGTAAGTTATGTTATTATTATTTTTTTTTTAAAAAAAAATTCTTTTTATTTAACTTTATTTTATTTACAGTCAGCATAAAAAATAAATTATAGTTTTAATAGTTTGTTTTTACATCATTTTGAACGTGATAGACTATTATTTCGAATGTTTACCTTTAGCCTTAATAACAGCTTCTCTTCGAGTTAAGCTTAAAATTAGGTGCCTTGCAGTTTCTAAGCTTATACTGTATATGTCCATTCCTCTTGTATAACACGAAGGAAGTCTTTCTAGATACGGGTAAAGGTTTTCTCTTTCAGATCTGACGATTCAAATGGTCCCACAAATTCTCGATTAAATTGAGATCAAGACTTTGAGCGACTCAATTTAAGACTTGAATCACATGTGATTCGAGCCACCAAGTCGTATATTGAGCAGTGTAACAACCGACACCATCTTGTTGAAATATGGCGCCTGGACTATTACGAACCCAAGGTATAAAGTTGGTGCCAAAATGTTTACGTAAGCCTCTGAATTCATTGTTTGATCCACGAGTATTAAGGGGCCATCATTCCATGAGAAACAACCCCAAAACATAGCTGATCCCTTCTCCAAATTTTATGGTAGGCTTAATGCAGTCTATGTTGTATTCTTTCCCAATCCTGCGCTAAACTCGTACTCATCTGTCAGACTCAAATAAGGCAAATCGTGATTCATCAGATCGTACGATTCATTTCCATTCCTTATTCCAGTCACGTTTGATTCTGCATCAATTAAATCAAGCTAAACATTGTTTATTTGATAAAAGAGGTTTTTTTCATGTTGTGCAACTCCCTAATCCCATTTGTGTAAGTAGTTTTGAATTATATTTGCATGAAATGTTGAGGTAAGGTGAGTGTTTATGTTGCTCGAAATGTTACCCAGGGGCGCGAAACGGTCTTTTTGAACAAAACATCGCACCACCCGCTGATCATGATCAGAAAGTGATTTTGGTCATCCAGAACGCGTATTAGGGTGAGGGGAACTGTGTTTTTTTTTTATAGCGATTATTGTGTCATAAATGGTTGAGGGAGGTATACCAAGTTGAGAGACAATAATCTTGCCTTTAATACCTGAAAGATATGCGCCGATTATTTGCTCACGTTGTTGGAGGCTTAGTTCGGAGCCCCGCATCTTTAGTACGACAGAAAACTGTAAAGTAACGAGTAACACGAAAAAAAATTTTTTAAGTTAAGAAGGAAACACGGTTTAAAAAAATTTTTTTTATCGCGATCGACCAATCGCGATAATCCATTTACCGTAGGGGGTGTAGAATACACGACAACGCCTGAGAACTGGAAACGAATACGTGTTGATATTATGAGGGCAAATGAAAAAATTTCATACCGTACCAGACACTTACATGGCAACTTTACGATGAAATGGATATGTTTCTTAGGTGGCGATGCATTTATTGCCAATAATTCATTGCTCTGCCTTGATAACTTTTTTGAGGTGACCCACAAGATGGTTCCTATCTACAGTATATCGACAGGAAAAACATTAGTGGTTGTATTTCCTTTAACGAGGCATGAGATTGATAGGAGCTCCAAAAAAAAAGTTACTATTGGCTAAAATAATAAGATTTTACATTTAAAACCTTTCAAATGACCCATTGCAATATTGACAAAAACAAAATACGTATTGTTGTACATAATTTGACTTCATCTGGTTAATTGTGGAAGTTTTAGTATGCTGTATTTTCCTTCAGACTGTGACCTTATACTGTGCTAGATCACATGCGTACATAACAGATAAGCGTACAGCCTTATACGTATCATTATTGTTTTATTTTTTATGAAATCACTAACATCACTAATTATATGGGAATCATAAATATGTCGGATTACGTGCCATGAACTGAAACATTGTTTTACTTTAAACACTCTACTCATTTTTGGAACTTCATAATTTACAGTATATATATAATGTTATCTGATACCGGAGAAGTTATGGTATTTAAAATTCTACAAATTATATAATTTTATGAGTAATTTTTAATAAATTTTCAGATTTTTTGTGTCGTTTTAGGCAATACCATTAGGAATTCTTTCCCGATTGATGTTAGTGATGACTTGACCATTGGGCATCTCAAGAAACTCATCAAAAAGGAGAAAGACCCCGATTTGAATCACACATCCGCGGATAGCCTGAATCTATGGAGTGTGGATATTCCTATCAATAGAGAAAACAAGGACATGATTCTGGATTCCGAAAGCATCAAAGAATACGAAGGTGAGGAGTTGCTCCCAAACGAAACCGTTGGAAAATATTTTCACAAATCCACTAGTAACATCCGCATCATCGTGGAATCACTGCTGCCCGCCACTACTGGTAAGTGTCTCCCAATGGTTTATCACTCGAGCAAAGATATTTTTTATAGCCTAAGTTTGTGATCGTGATCGACAATGGCAGGCTGATCTCAAGTGTTTTTTTCTTTTTATTTCACTACATTAGTTTCGTCAATGTGCATCCCTTCTGACAAAATTGAAATTGAAATTAAAAACAAAGGTTTGTTGCACAAGAAGTTTGTTCCTCTTAAATGATTTTTCGCTCGCGTCAACTCTTTCTTTTTTTTAAGTTATAAAGGCCTTTCCAAAAATAAATAAATTGTCAATCGACCGGCTTGTTTATGCACTTGCCTTGATTTGGGATACTGAGGCAGGGAAAAGTGACTCTCCGGGGCCACAGAATGACCCATATGTTAAACTGAAGATAGAACCCTCTTTTTTCAAAACACGATTACCGCGAGGTATCACCAGACAAACTCTCACAAAAGTTGATCTGTGTCTCCCTTCTTATAAATCTGGATCAGTGAACTATCATAATCCCTTTTATGATGATCCGCAATTCAAAGAAACAGTTTCTTTTGTGAAAGAGAAAATCGAAACTAATATTAGAGATATAACTGTGCTTGCCGGGGTTTCAGGTGGTGGAAAAACATCGACAACGTTTGGAATAGCTATGCAACGTTGGTCAATGTATATTGATTTTTCTCCTAGTGCAGGAACGTATGGTGACCATGTAGGGAAAGAGCTTGCAGCAATCAAAGTTAAACAACCAAAGTTTGAACGGCATATTCAGCGAGATCATGTATTTCGTATGCTGGACACGGTAATACTCTCACGCGGACTTTTACTTATCAAGATGCTCATAGAGAATAATACTTTGACGCCAAAAGAATGGCTGTTTGCACAGCTTCGAATGAATGATTCGAATATCCGAATGAGATTGGCTCATGAAAACTATGATATTTTTAATGTTAATGCACTTATCGAAAGTATCAATACTTTTCTCAGCGTTGAGTCTCTCACATTAATATTTGATGAGGCGCAAGCCCTATGTATATCCGAATATGGAGAATACAAAGGGAGCTCAGTTCCAAACAAAAAGTGGAATCTCTTGCAGGCTTATGTTGAACATCTTACCCATCTTCCCGTTACCTGTCTTCTTGCCGGTACTTACATGCATATGTCAAGCGGAATTTCTCTTGTTACTAGTGTTGGAAAAGACCGAGGTTTGAAGGATCATATTGTGCTAAAGCTTCCCTTCCTTTCACATAATGATGTCCTGCGGAATCTCAATGCTGTAATTGACCTGACAGATGTCTCGCCCAAAATTCTTAACTTCTTGGGATGCCTTCTTAGGGGAAGACCTCGAAACTGTGCATCATTTGTTCGGTTGTTGATATCAGAGCGGATTTCAGTTAATGGAGCGAAAGATCAAAAAAACCAAGAAATTATTAAACTTATTGAGAAGTGGTATAAAAAGATTTGCGCGGACATGGCAGAATAATTGGAAAATGCATGTAAATATTTGGATGCAAATAATCTCAATCCAGATAGAGCAATTGTAGATGTTCTTAGGCTTCGTGTTTTTTACAATCAAAAGTAAAAGTCAGCCATAAAGCTTCTTCAACACAGCATCATTCCCTGCAAGTCGCCAGAATGCATCACTCTTGAATCTGGTAAAACTACTTATGGTATAATAGAAATCAACACATCACTCGAATCTTACCTTGTCTCTGCAATAGAGCTTTTTCTTAAAGACACAAGAAAAAAAACTTTGATAGAGATCTTTATTGACGAAATCATCAAGCTCGATGGCATTCCATCAATTGGTAATGAATTTGATGCAATTTTTATTGCAGCAATCATTCAAAAATGTGGGCTTAATGCGCGAGAAGAACTTAACAGGTGGAAAAACGGGCAAAAATTTGACCTTCCTTCATGGATCACTCCCACGATGGAATTTGTAACAATTTCAAATCTATCAAGAGCAGTTCCTATAGCCAGATACATTGAAGATGAAACTTATCGTTATTACGCGATCCAACCAGACACCTATTCAGGATCAGACTTGGTGATTTCTCTTGTGGATGATAAGCAAAATGCAGTACTGTTATCAGCAAGCTGTACAATTTCTGGAAGTTTTATTGAGCGAGATAAGGTTAAAAAGCAGTTGATCAATTCATGTATGAAATTTTAGTATATGGAATGCCCGAGAAAGAGAAAAGATTCTGAAACTGTAGAATTTTCTTCCGGTAAAAAGAGAATGCGTCTTCAAACAGGTCTTGGCACAATTCCTACCACAGCCAAGGAGGATGACTTAGAAGATGAGGATGGCTTAGAAAAGATTGATGATGAATTTGACTTAAAGGAGGAAGAGGATGGACGAGATTTAGACTTTGATGATGTAGATTATGATTTAGATTACACTAAAAACATCAAGAAGTATCGGATATCTGAGGTCTCTGAGCGTGCAAAGAATCATGAGAAAATCAAAACCTTAACTGAGAATCGAAAACACATTTATGTTTCGGTGGAACTTCCTCATAGACGTGGTAAAAGACCAGAATTATTTCGTTTCAATGAATATGGAGATCTTGTGATTATTGTTGATGATCGTAATATGGAGCATATTTTTGGACCGATCATTAAGGAGCTAGTGGATAGTATTAGGTTCGTATCTTTACGCCATAAGTTGATAGTAAATGCATTCTAACGTAGTAATTTTTATTTCTAAACAAAGAGGAGAAAATTTAATGGATGAGACTGATGGATGAAACAAATAGCATGATATTTTCTTTAGATTCAGTTGATCAGTATTCTTGCTACGAATAAAAAAATTAGTATTAGCTTCTATATGATGATAAAATTACAGTATATTTGCGAATTCAGTATGCCTAATTATAATAAAACATTAGGCACATCTTTATTTTTGCGAATAGATTATCAATGTTGACAGTTTAGTCAGCTAAGCTAATAAATGGAATAGCGGATGTTTCAAAGGGGAATTACTCGATCCCTAACTCATATAACGACAGTTCCACTCAATAGTTGAGAAACTGTCCATGATCTATCCAAGCACCCATCTTTTCTAAGTTTTCGCTTCTTATACTATTCCTATGGTAAAAACCCTTTATTTTTTCATCTTTTTCCGATATTCCATCCCAAGTTTTAAGAATATCAGCCAATGCAAAAGTTCAATCTGATTTAAAGAGTAACCATTCGAATCATTAACTTTAAGGAAGTTATCCGAAGGGATATTCTCTAGTCTTTAGCTTGAATTTGATGAACGAGTAGAAAATTAAGTTTCGCTTTGATGATCAGATTCTCTCTTATTGGTATTCTGGACAAGGGAGTGTCATTGTTTAATCTTGCTCTGAAGCAATGTAATTATTCTACTGATCAATTCAAAATCAGTTGCAATTTAACAAAAATTGCTAAGATTCTAGAACTTCTTCGATTTCGTTATACTTTCCATTTATCGTGTAATGATATTCTTTACCTCTGTGCATACAGCAGATCTCAAAAATAATACTCAATTGCTAATATTTTGACCAGTTTGTCTGATTATTATATTAACAGGATATATAGTGTATATTATGATACAATGTATGAAAAAAAATTTTACTATTGTTTACTTATTTTAAAAAAAAATTATAAGATTTATATAAATATATTTGAAATCTATTATCTTCAATATATTTTCCTTTTACCTTAATAAAATCAATAATTTTCTTATGCATTATTTCTATATATTTCTTATAAACTTTTTTAAATATTTATTTCATATATTATTTCAGAAAATTTCTTTGTCCTTAATATTATTTTCTAAATCACCAACTGTCCTTTTCACATTATTTCATATATGTTCTATTAAATTTGGATCTGAAAATTGAGGTAATCAAAAAAGTGTTATTATTTTTTTTAATTATTTTGAACTATTTATTTTTAAATTATTATTATATTGAAAAATATTATTTTTAGATCTAAACTATAATAGCTTAAAAATTATTTTAATTTATTTTTAAAATTTGTATTATAAAATATATACGTTATTAATACAATTATAATTTAATTTGATCTATTTAAAATATAAATAATTAAAGAACATTAATCAAGTATTATATTCTTTTATAAATTATTGTAATTTTTCAATTTATATTAATATTGAAATATAAAAATTAATATATTATTATTCAAAATCTATAAAATTCTATTGAAAAATTTTACATATTTTAATCTATATTTAAGAATAATAAACTTAGATATTAATTGTATATAATTTTTTCTAATATATAAATCTTGAAATAATTATTTAAATTATTTTTAATTTTTATATTATAGTTAAAAAATAATATAGAAAGTAATAATATTTTCCAAAAATAATAAAAATATATAAATAAAATAAAAGTATCATAAAAAGTTTTTGTCTTAAAAATAAATTAAATTTTATTTGATTAAAATTAATAATTGTCATTTTTTATATAGTAAATAGTTATTAAATGCAAAGTTTTTATTAAACTAATTCAATATATTATATCTATATTAATAATCTTTATATATTATATATAAATTAATTATAACTTATTACTATATTTTTTAATTATATTAACTTATATCTAGTAAATGAATTGATATATTAAAGTAATATAAAGAAGAAAAAATCTTATTAATAATTTTAAATTATCTAATCTTTTATTCAATTATTGAATAGTCCATCTTATTTTTTTGATTATTAGCATCAAGCAGTTTTTTTAAATCTTTATATACTACTTTTTGATTTATCTTTGTATTCAAAATATAAAAAATACTATTTATAATATTGTTATTATACTTTAAAATTTATATATATTAATATTTATTATTATTAATATTTTTAGATTATATATTAATTATAAGTTTTAGTAATAGTATATATTTTAAAGTCTGCTAATAACAAGTTGGCTTAATAAAATATTTATAATTAATTAAATCTAAAGTTTTTTTTTATATAATTCAATTAATAATATAATATAGATATCAGTTATGATCAACAAAAGATCAAAAGTTCCATCTTTATACAATTTAACCTATTTGAATTTTTTTTTAAATAATTAAATAATACTTTTACAAAATAATTAATAAATCTAATTAAAATTTAATCTTTAATTTTGATCCTTAAATAATATTGAATCATAGATCTTATAATTGTGACTTAAAAATATTATTACTATATTATTGATTCATATATCTTAATAATTTTTTTTTTATCTCAAATAATTAAGTATTTTTATTAAAATTATTTTAAAAGATTTTAAAAACAATAAATATATTTAACAAAAACTAAAAAATAAATAAAAAAATAAAAATAAAAAAATTAAGTTTTTATAATTTTAAATTAGCTGAAACAAATTTATTAAAAATTATTATTATAAAAATTTGATATTAGATCTATATCAAAATTTTTTTAAAAAAAATAATTTGTTCAGCCTTGTTTATTAGCATAATAAAATAATATATAATTATATATTATAGGAATTACAAGGTCTATATTAAAATAATTAAATAAAATTTTATAATAAACTAATAATTATTTTTTAAAAAATAAAATTTTCTTTTTTCATTCTTATCATATTTTTTATCTTAAACTTTGCTTTTTTTTTTTTTTAATTTTAACCGCAACTGGTATTAGATGCAAGCTTTATTTAAAGAATTAACTTAATTTGACGGATAATTAAATCCTACAGTAGTTACATCAATTATCTTCTATAAGTCATATATTTCTATATCTATGCAGCTTAATAAT